CTTCTCCTCGGGAAAAATATGTCAGGAGATTATATGGTTCTACGTAATATATATACGAGTACTGTCTTTTATTAAAGTTCTTATTATATTATACATTTTTTGTCTTTTAAATATGAATTATATAAATTTAAATGCAGTTTTTTTGGAGAAGATATTAAGGGTGGCACCAAACGTGAAGAAACTCTATCTCCTTTTACGAGCATCTGATGGAAAATCTGCTAGCCAGAGATTTAACGATGAGGTACATAGTTAGGCTTTGAATTACTGTAGTTGTTACCTTATTTTTGGTTTTTTAAGTTCATATGGACCGTCTTCCAGTGATTTTTATGATGATAGACCGTCGTCGAGTGATACTAATACAAATTCGACAAGTTGAGGTGTTTAATTAAAATGTATGCAGATTTTGGGGAAGGATTTGTACAAGGTGGTGAAGGAGAAGTATGGTCTAAATCTAAATCATCTTATATCAGAGAAACTCACTATTGTCAATGGAGACATCTGCCTTGAGGATTTGGGTCTTCAAGACTCCGATTTGACCCATGAGATGGTCCGAGAACTTGATGCCATTGTTAATTTAGCTGCAACTACTAAGTTTGATGAAAGGTATTGATTTTTAATATTTTATTATTGATTTATTGTAATACTATGAATGAAGTTTAATTATCACTTACGATAAAAAAAGGCTTGCTAGATCGCCAAAATTTTTTTTTTTTTATCAAATTTGACAAAAATAGCATGCAGTGACAAAAATGTAAATCAGGGATTTTTTTTTGTGATTAAAAAAGATCGTGATGTTAGATTAAATAATGTGTTGTCGAAAAAATAAGCAACGTGACTAATTGGTGTATATTCTTTACAAAAAAAGAAAAGCAACGATCTAACATCTAGTCCTTAGCAATAAATTTTGATTTCTTGTAACAACAATATGTTATCAATCCATTCAAAACCGACAACAAATTGACGACGTCAACTATAGAACGATGTGGGGATAACACATTTTTCAGTAGTTATGATTGATTGATATGTTTTATTTATATACAGTAAGACTAAAGAAATGTTAATTAACCGCAGATACGATGTCGCACTTGGGATCAACACATTAGGTGCTCTCAATGTCTTGAACTTTACCAAGAGATGTGCAAAGGTTAAGATCCTTGTTCATGTATCGACAGGTATATATACAAAACTATGAAATAACTTGTGTTTATAAGTCGTACTTTTAGAATTTAACACGAACTTCTAATCCATCTAATTCCCCAATCCTTATCTTAATTTGACGGATCCTATTATACACAATTTATATATATTATGGTCAATTCTCGAAGAATGTTTTAAAAGTTGACATGATAAAGACGCTTTGAATTATAGGTGTATTATTTATATAAAAAAAAAATTAAAGTGTTCTCACATGGAATGGAAGATTAGAATGAATATGAAATGAGACAATAATGAAAAGTACCTTACCTTATCTCGATTTCGACAACTGCCAACAAAAAACACTCCGATACTTTGCCAATTTATTGACGTTGATGATCAGTACTGTTTGAATTCAAAAAACCCGAATGATATATAATAGTATTAAAAAAAAAGATTCCATAATCAAATAGTACTACTAACCAACAAAATTTATGATATAGCTTACGTGTGCGGAGAAAAATCTGGCTTGATAATGGAGACTCAATACCGTATGGGTGAAACGTTGAACGGAACCACCGGTCTACTAGACATTGACAATGAGAAGAAATTGGTTCAAGAGAAACTTGACCATCTCCGAGCCGCTGAAACCCCTCCTGAAACCATCACACAATCTATGAAAGATCTCGGACGCACCAGGTTCTAATATATATTTGCAAATAAAAATGTCAAAATTAGTGTCAAACTTTGAAATGAGAATGATTAAAATTTGAAATTAATGATAGGGCAAAAATGTACGGATGGCCAAACACATATGTATTCACGAAGGCAATGGGGGAGATGATTGTGGGGGAAAAAAGAGAAAATATATCTCTTGTGTTGATTCGTCCTTCAATTATTACTAGCACTTTCAAGGAACCATTTCCTGGTTGGACTGAGGGTATCAGGTTAGATTATCAAATATTTTATCAGTTTCTCGTTTTAGGACATATGTTTTGTTCTAATAGTATGTATGGAATATCTTAAATGTAATAATGAAATGAAAAGATTAGATGATCCATTAGTCTTAGTCAATGAAGTTATTGATCTTTAATGTACAGGACCATTGATAGTTTAGCTGTGGGATACGGTAAAGGCAAACTCACATGCTTCCTTACTGATGTTAATGCCATTTCCGATGTGGTACCTACTCTCTTTCACATTCATCTTAATCTACATTCTACATTAATATTTTGAATTAAATGTGGTTCAAAGGGGTTTTCACATATATTTAAAAAATTGAAAATCTATATTACTATATGCTTTATCGTTTGTCAATTTACATTTTACAATTTCCTTTTTCTGTGCAACAAACTTTATTTATAAGAGTTACATTGGAAGAGTGAATTGTGAAATAAAAAAAATTCATCAAACAAAATATATTTAAAACGACAGAGTAATTATTTACGTATCTATTTTTTTTTTAGAAAGTTCATAATCATTTACGTATCGTTGTTTAATACGTTTGATATATGCATGGATTATTAGATACCAGCGGATATGGTAGTAAATTCCATTCTAGTATCGATGGCAGCTCAAGCCGGTAGAGAGAAGGCGATTATTTACCATGTGGGTTCTTCACTAAGAAATCCGTTGAAAAATGAAATATTTCCTCAAGTAGCATACCGGTATTTCACAAACAAGCCATGGATTACCAAAGAGGGGAGGCCTGTTTGCGTAAGGAACATTGAGATTCTGAGTTCCATGTCTAGTTTCCACAGATACATGGCCATACACTACTCAATCCCATTAAAGGTAATACTTAACAGTTAATAGTACTAAACAATTTCCGACTAGTATTTTTAGATTTTGAATAACCTATGGGTTCCTAGCTAATTACATGCATGA